TTTTATATCAAAACTGATATTACTGATATCATTGATGTCAATATTAGTGATATCAGTAACTTATGAAACTGCCTACTGATTTTATCAATGATCAGTAAACCCCTTTTCTAAAACTATAAAAGGAAGCACAATAGTAGGAGAATGGCTCATCCGAACGAACAACAGATAATTAAATCACTTTACTTACAACACCTGCTGTATCAACATATATCTCGGAAGCCTCGCAGATAATAATTAAAGTTGACGGTTACAGTGAGAAGTCATATTCGATGGTGTTGCATTGTATAAAATTGATATTTTTTAAAGTATTATTATTATTATTATTTATTTCGTTTTTTTTTTAATATACAAACGTCACCGGTATGGGAGTGAGGTCGTTAATAACTATTTTACATAAGTTACATAAATCATTCAATAATGTGGATAGGAAAGTAATGAAGACTACTCCCTCATAGATAGATAGAACGATAGATAGTCGATAGATAGATTGATAGGTAGATAGATAGAGAAATTTGATATTTAAATCTCGCCGGCTGTGGCCTCTCAAGGGATGGAGACGGTTACAATTTGAGGGGCCCACTTTAAGGTTGTATCAAGCAGAATGAAGGAAATCGAAATACCCAGTTAAAATTCAACTAACCTAAAGGTACCTAACCTAACCTAAATGGGATCATATAAAGATCCTCCCCCCAAACCTACTTGGGGGGGGGGGAGGATCTTCATATGATCAAGCCCAGTCGCGCTCATCTGAAGATCCACCCCCACCCCAAACCTAACCTAACCTAACCTAACCAAACCAAACCTAACCTAACCAAACCTAACCTAACCTAACCTAACCAAACCAAACCTAACCTAACCAAACCTAACCTAACCTCCCCCCAAACCTACTTGGGGGGAGGATCTTCATATGATCTAGCCTGGGGGGGGAGGATCTTCAATTGGATACTTTGGGGGGGAAGATCTTCATATGATCCCCTAAATGTCCCTAACCTAATGGTACCTAACCTAACTTAAGGTAACCTCACATAACCTAACCTAACAAAGAAATCTAAATAGGTATTAGACCAAGAAATAAGCCCATGGACATAAATGTTTTTGTTTCATTGCCTTGTATTGTCAGTTAATAAGCGACTTAAAATACTATTTGTTTAAGTACTTTAATTAGTATCTATGGTGTTTAAAGGAAATGTGAGTTATTTTCTTGTGACTTTTTTTCCTAGCCAAAATTGTGACTTTTTTCTGTGACTCTTTTTTCCTGTGACTTTATTACCGTTCACCAAATTTCACTGGGTTCTGTTGTCTTGTTTTGGTGTTCCCTGTGATGGCGACGAACATATACTCTGTGAGGCGTGACACTGTATGCGTGGAGTCATTAATGTAATATTTAAAGTTTTACACTCATAATAAGTTGAAGTGCTCGGTTTGGTCAACTTCTGATATATATTAGTGAATTAAAATTTGCTTTGATAAATTTAAGTGAATTACACCTCCGACGGTGTTGCCTTCTTACTAGGCTACTACATTATTGTATTGTATATTACAGCAACATCTGTTCTTGTAGCTCATATGTGAGTTTTATGTCCCACATGAGCACAAGATGAGATCAGATTTGAATTCTTAAAAACGACGTTGGTAGCATTTTCTTCCACTTTTTGTCAATTTAACACCCAAAATTTACAAGACGTTACCTGGATAGTGTGGTGTTATTGTCGAATGAGAAACAATACCCCTTGCTTGGCCTTTGAACGAATGAGGTTTACGCCCGTATTATTAAACATCTTCCCTTGAAGAGGGTCGTCGTGTTTCAAACCGAGTTTTACACTAAACGAGTCCTGATGGACACCGCAGTACAGTACTTAACGGGGTGGTGTAGCGGTAAAATTAACATTCCAATAAAATGTCTTCAGCATTAGTTGTTATAAACAGGCAATTATTCGAAACGCACTACAGTTTCTAAGTACTGTACATCAGGCCCGGATTATGGGGAGGGCGTACCGGGCGCACGCCCAGGGCCCACCCACAACATTGTAAAAAGAAAGTTTTAAAAACCTTTACCACAGAGCGACAAACAAGTGGAACAGATTGCCTAACACTCGCTGTGCACCACTTACCGTAACTCCAACAGGCCGCCACAAATATTTCCAGCTAAAATTCATGTTTGGTGAACTGATTTAACTTATTTAACACTGAGATTATAACAAAATAATAAAAAGGCTATATAAATAAGTGAACACTACACCACACAAACTTCTTCAAGATCCAAAACGAATTCTTCAATCAGCAGTAAATTCGCTGGTTTCCTTGAAATTTTTCGTTGAAAGAAAGCGAAACAGTTTTGATGCCTAAAAGGAAAAAGCAAAAGATCTGGCAGGAAGCACCGAGTTTGTCCGTTCAGGTCGCCAAAGGCGATCAAAAGTATGGCTCGCTCCACTGGATTATGGACGTTCAAGTGAAGTGGATCTTAGTCCAATAGACAATTTCCGAACAAAATGCTTCCTCACAGTCATTGTCACCTAGTGGTATCCCTAAACGAAAGGATTTCTGCATACACGTTGGTGAAAGATCACTTCGGCTTTTTAAGCAATCTGGAAACCATGTCAGCCAATGCCATTCATTCTGCTTCAGAAAATCGTCTGCAAACTTACGGAGAAGATATTGATGAAAAAATCTCCAATGAAATGATTCAATTTTCGTCTCAAGTAAAGTTGTGTGCAAAAGCCGCGGATGAGCCCAATGAGTCGTTTTATTACAGAATTATAAAGGAAAACGATGGTTTACAATCAGCATTTCCAAATGTAGAAACGGTTTTGAGGATATATCTGGTGTTAATGGTCTCCAATTCTACTGGGGAGCGTTCCTTCTCAAAAATGAAACTGATCAACAACAGGCTGTGGACCACGATGCGCCAGGAGAGACTCAACAATCTGATGCTATTAAGCACCGAGTCAGACATTTCAAGAGAACTTCCATTTGACAATGTGGTGATACGTTTATTTGCTAGAAAAGACACGAAAAGTGCATTTGTAATTGAATGTACTCCTGTATACGCTTTCTTTGAATGGAATAAATAATATGTAAATGTGTCATTAGGACTAGATTTTATTGTTTCTATTGACCTTGGATATTACTTAGATTTATTTTCAGTGGTCAGCAGGGTGCACCCCACTGCTAGGTGTCGCCCAGGGCCCCCTAACCCCTTAATACGGCTCTGATTGTACATGCTGTGGGTGTTCCCATATTGTTGTTGCTAGCGTCTAGTTCTACAAAGGTCACCCTGATAACATTAAAGAAAATTGTCAATCTATTTGCCAAATCCTCATATCTGATCCCTCCAACTACTGTACAGGAAGTCGTGACGATAAGCATCTTAGTTAAGTCACCATTTACATACCGTCTAGTATTACACCCTCCAGCCACACTTAAAACACCTAGCTGTATCTTTATATATCTTATATTATTATTTTAACTATGCAAACTTGACTGTGGTGTAAGCGTATTATCACCAATGTAAGGCATTGTATATAACTTCGTACACTGGAGGGTATTATAAAAAGATACTTATCACTTAAAATCATCTGAAATAAGAAACAAACACTTCCATTCACTGATTATCTTTGAACACCAGTCACAAGCCATCAATAACAACAGAAAAAAATAATGACTTTCTCTGAACTTTAAAAATGTATCAACAAATGAGAGAAAGCCACATGAAAAAATAAATAAAACGGAAGGATGGGAAATTGTCACAAGCAACACAGTGTTTACCAGCGAAGATGACAACACGGATATTGTAAAATGCGCAGGTCCAGATTCTCAGAGGGCTCATGCGTATGGATGTAAAAGAACAAACGTATTTTTTAACGAAGTGAAAACACAATATTACCCTGAAACTATACCTTAACTAGATAACTTCCCTCCGCTTAACACCAGTAAAAAGTGAACGTATAAATTGTTTCCAAAGACTTTCTACATACTGTACTGTGTAAAAGTCTCCTAACTGGTGATAAGGGAACATATCTAGTAAAGGTAGAGCCTCAGTGTAGCTTTCATGTTGTTCTATAATGTTTTTTGTTTTTTTTTTCCCCATAAGTTAATCAGTTAATCTTATGTCTTCAGTTACGATAAATATTCATCATGTGATTTCTTTTTTTTTGAGAATGTAGACCCACTGTAATATCAAAACCTGTATCACCGTATGTGTCAGGTTTACTATATCCTCGCCTAGGTTACATAAGCCAAGCTAAATGAACCAATAAGCCAGTAAATAAATAAATAAATCCATACTGATGTGACTGCGTTCTAAAGCGGAGGCCAAACTCGCTTCAAGTCTCGTAACGGTGCTTAGGCAGACATATCTTACCGTAACATCTGGTGTGTGAAAAAAGTCATAAGGTGTCATAATACGACCGTTGTTGAAACAGCCATGACACAGAGCAGCCATAACATCTTAAAACAATCATGACAACAATGATGTCTCAAAAGCGCGGGGTTTCAACAATCAGTAAGACATCCGTGGGGAAATAACATCTATATAATTACGACGCTTAGAAACACCCATCAAATCATTCAAGTTTTAACACCGAGTTACAACACATACATATTAAGTCCGCAAACTGACTCGTGTTGGAAAAAACAAATATCACGAACAGTACCGCCATATATATATATATATATATATATATATATATATATATATATATATATATATATATATATATATATATATATATATATATATATATATATATATATACTTTACCCATCATCAAAGCAGACGACAGGAATCTTATCCTTAACCGAGGGCAGTTTGGGTAAGGTTAAGAATAGGTTACGTTGCTTTGTATGACTAGGAAAGCAAAATAAATGGTTTATCAGTTCTGTTTCGCTCTATTTTTTCTTTCAACAACACTGGTCATCTGTGCATTATCAGTCCTACTAAAAGCCAGAGTTACAACACCAAGACGAACAGTAATAACAGTTTGAATGTGTGCATCCCTTACCTAGGCCAGGGTTGACAGGGGTTAGTGAGGTGTAGGAACGGGACGCGTTACCCTCTGAACCACCATGAAAGAAAACCAATCCCATCAGCTGGTATTAACCACAGAAAATGGTCCATTACACAACGAAAATTACATAAGGATAAATGTTTAAATTCTTACTGCATAGACCACGTTTAAATTACATGAAGACATTTCTAATTCCCTACTGAACATTACACTTCTAAATTACATAAGAATAATTATCTAACTCCATCTTACACATTATTAAACGTTTAAACTGTATTACATGGGGATACTTATCTAATTGATTAATGTATATGTATCGTTTAAATATATAATGTAATTGTACAGGATACTTCAAATTATACAGTTCTTAGTAATTATACAATTACTTAAACGGTGATATTTGGTATTTATTCCTGCCTCGGTAATTATCTTCACAGTGTAGTTCTTAAAATCCCACATACACTATTGACAAAGATAGGCATATGTAAATTAACAGCATAATTATACATTAAAATGAAAACAATGGGAAAATATCATACATTATACACACTGTCGAAAAGGGGGCGGCAACTGAAACTAGGCTTCACTGTCAACACATGAAGAGTGTTTTTAACACACACACATACACACACGCGCGCGCTAAGACCACATTTCATTAGAGCTGTTGAGGGACAGTAAATAAAATATTAACCTACACTTCGGTGCACTGACAAAGTTCACCTTGTGAACAATGGAACAACTGTCAAATTCAATGACATTCACACTCCATCACTATGTCAAGAGTTTACTACTGAAACTGCACACACACACACACACACACACACATTACCAGCTCTCAGTTGTTATTGGAGGTGCCGGGGTCTACTTGTGTTGAGAATGTATTATGGCTTTCACACGGATGGGGTTAAGACACTCGGGGCATACATACATAAATCCCAAGTGACAGGGGTGAAAAGGTTCAGTTGAAGGACCACGGATGGCTGGAAGTGAGTAGTAGGAGTAAAAATAGGTGCATTGGCTTAACACAGCAAGCCTGATTGTTATCGGATTGTAATACAGACTCCCAGCATCACAACCGACGTACACCCACTAAAAAAATATTTGGCACCCGTGTCTTATTGTATCACGCCGTAAGGGTGCCGAATAATTTTTAATGGGAGTACAGCAATGTTTGGTGTACAACATTACTGTACATAATACTTCAACATACCTGTACACCCAATAAAAAATTATTCGGCACCCTTACGGCGTGATACAATAAGACAAGGGTGCCAAATATTTTTTTTAGTGGGTGTACAAGACTCACACTGCCGCAGCTCGAACCCAAAACCCCGTCCAGTGTAAAAGGAAGGGATCACGACGTCTTTTAAATAGGGGGGGGGGGGAGGGTGGCGGCGCAGTGTTCCTATTTACAGCTCACGTTGATGGCGACTACAACGCTCTCAACCTTTTTCTGACGGCTGGCGCGAATCCATTCTAACTTACATTAACCAACATAAATTAACCAGTATAATTTAAATTAACCAACCTAACAAATTAACCAACCTAACTTATATTAAATCACAATTTTCGTAGTCTACTGGGATGTTTTTCACCCTACAGGCTTGTATTCCATGTTGCACAACCTGGATCACTATGGGTGTGTGAGTGTAAGTACAATGACCAAGTCGGCGTCATGCGTGCGTAGGTCTCGTTTAGCTTGTGTACACTGGCTCAGTGTTTTAGCAATAATAATGATAATAATAATAATAATAATAATAATAATAATAATAATAATAAATAGGCCCTTAAATACACACGGGTCTGCAGCCCCTTAAATACACTTGGGTCTGTAGCCCCTTAAATACACTTGGGTCTGTAGCCCCTTAAATATACTTGGGTCTGTAGCCCCTTAAATATACTTGGGTCTGTAGCCCCTTAAATATACTTGGGTCTGTAGCCCCTTAAATATACTTGGGTCTGTAGCCCCTTAAATATACTTGGGTCTGTAGCCCCTTTCTTAGACAAACAAAATGCTTCAAGATTACCATATCGTATTATTAAATCACTAGTAAACGTACCATTTTATAACACTTAAAGATATAAGGAAAACAATTAGATTATAAGTTACTAAACACTAATAATAAATGATGACAACACGAGATGAATTAGAAATGTGAATATTTTTTAAATGGTGTTATGTATCGAGATATTTAGCAATACTGTAATTACTCTTATAGTTATGCTTGTTTATCTATCCACCATTTTAAAGGACAAGGGAACGTTTTTGTTGTTGTTGCTTCTTCCTCTTTTCACTTCCCTCCTCTCACCTCCCCTCCTCTATCTCCTCTCCTCTCCCTCGCCTCCTCTCTTCTCATCTTCCTTCCTCTAATCTCTACTCTCCTCTAACTTCATCTCCTCTCATTCACCCTCCTTTTATCTCTCATTTTCTAACCTCCCTTCCCCTCCTCTCCCCTCACCTCCCTTCCTCTCATTTCCCTTCCTCTCACTTACTTTCTTTTTATCTCTCCTCCTCTCATCTTCCCTCCCACTTTCCCCCCCTATATGACATAACCTGACCCGTCCTAACTAACTTAACCTAAACCAACAGAACTTTTTATCTGCAACACCAAAGGTAAAGTTCTATATATATATATATATATATATATATATATATATATATATATATATATATATATATATATATATATATATATATATATATATATATATATGTGTGTGTGTGTGTGTGTGTGTGTGTGTGTGTGTGTGTGTGTGTGTTGACTAGAAAATGTTATCAATGTGCTGGTGGCTGCATGAGTACAGTTCTAAAGAGCCTGTCTCTAGTTCATCACAAAAACACTATATATAACTAATTTCTGGAATATTACTTAAGAGACAAATATTTGGAACTGACATCATCATCATCCTCCTTCCTCCTCCTCCTCCTCCTCCTCTGACACACTTAACACGTGTTGTCCTAGATAATGTAATAATGAAAAAAATATATAAAAGTTCATTCACACATATTTTACATTTCAACTTGCTGTACACTACACGATCCCCTGGGCGAGGCATTACAGTCCGGACACAAGGTCTTCCTCAGCCAGTGCTCGCCGGCGGCTGTTGTGAGGCTGTACAGTAGTCTCACCCAAAAGTTCGTTAACTCTCCCAGCCAGCTATTGCTGCACTGCCTGCTTCAGATGTATGAACTTGAGTCTGTTACTTCGAACCTTTAGATTCATTCGTATCTGTTTCATGTTCTGGTTTGTACTGAGACAGTTTCAAACATATGAAGCTGGCAGTGCAGCAATAGCTGGCTGGGAGAGTTAACGAACTTTTGGGTGAGACTGTACAGGTAGGCGATATCCGCCAGGTGTTGTGACATTTACACATTCGGCTCAAGCTTCCCGACACCTTTACCGTGGTCTTGTGTTTTCTTGATATACTTGTTCTGATTCCAAACATTTATTAAGGGCAAATGGCATAAGATAATGAAATGCATTTGTTTTGTTTTGTATTTGCTTAGGTGAAAAACAATGCTTAAATAGTTACTATCAAATGCAAAAAAGTGCATATCAGTATTTTATGCTATTTAAACATAACGAATGTTTGAAATCAGAACGGGACTGTTAACTTTATTCATAACTTTCTCAATCCAGAGGTGAAATACTGTTGGTAATTGCTCTCTCTCTCTCTCTCTTGGTCAATAATACCTAAAAAGCCGACAGCCCATCCAATTTTTCTTTCTTGTATATAACACACACACACACACACACACACACACACACACACACACACTAAAGGTAAAGCTTCAACAACCCCCGAGTTAACTACGCGCTTGAGGTTGACCTTAAGAGAATTAGTTTAGCGTGATGGTTAAGATACGATATATCATGGCTTAGGAACATATACTCTACCGTGATATATAAACCACCATGGTATATAAACCAAACTCACCAATAAGGAAACAGTAACTATAGGTTTAAGAGTATAAGGCATTAAATATTACTCATCACAACAGCCTGTAGACATATCAAAGTGTGTAAAAACAACAACAAAAACACGCAAATACACACACTTGTAATATAAATAAAGCACTCCGGACTTACTTTCTAAATAAAGTGAAGTACTTGAGTAAGGGGGTCAATGTAGCAACAGTAGACGACCAGCAATTATACCAAACGTGTAAACTCGGCTCAAGAGTATACTGGCATAAATGTGGGAATGATGACAGACCCTGATAACAACAACAAAAAAAGCTCTCAAAGGGTAAGTACAACCTAGAGTATACTGACGTTATGAAGTAAGTGACAAAGACGACAGTACCTGATCCGATGATGAGGTGCGGGGAGTCGGCCTGGATGATAGTACCCTTGGGCAGTGACACCGTGGGGGACCCTGTTGACGTCGCCGACCCTGCTGAGCTGGCCACCACCACCTGCAACAATGAGATGGTGTCATTAGGCATTACTCTGTGTATCTATGCTATGCCGTATACCTGTAACACACACACACACACACTACATTTTTGACCACCGGAGGGTCAAGACCTATCCGGGGCTGCTCCTGCTGTGCAGCGGCTCTTGGCTATGTCCAGCCATTCCCCAAGTCCCTCTCCCCGACCCATCCTCACCACCGGGATATCAACATAATCAAAATTGACAATTTCGTTTGGGAAAGAAGTGGGATCAGTGTTGAACAGTGATGAACAGTGATGAACAGTGTTTAAGCCAGTGAATTCAGCACGAGACAGTACCAGTGAGAGCCGCGACCCACCAGTGAGATAAGCACCCCTGGGAACTGACCACCACCCACTGACCAGACGGTGTTAATCCGTCCACCCTGGGAACAACAGTGGGCCGGCTTTACACCTGACTACGAGATAATACACGTGAGGTCCTTCAAATCAACACCTACGGACGAGTCACTACACCACGTGGCCTACGTGACCTCACACAGTATGGCAAGAGACCAGCCCGGGCCATCAACTGTAAACTATAATAATTTGTACGTTCAATCATGCTCCTTCTCCTTTCAGAAATGGAAGCTTTTGTTAAACGACCCACCCACCCCATGTCTTTGTATGTAATACGTCATTTTTGTCTAATGTACAGTATATTTTCAGCCTTCGGGCTGCAGAACTTTTTCAATAAACCGTTAATTATTATTATTATTATTATTATTATTATTATTATTATTATTATTATTATTATTATTATTATTATTATTATTATTACACTACTATCTGTAACACCAGTTGGTTGCTTAGGTTAGGTTAGGTTACGTTACGTTGTGGTTTGGTTAAGTTAGGTTACGTTTGTAAGGGTGGAAACGATCTTCCTGCTGGTTACCGCTGTTAACTCGCTCGTTTACTGGTGCGAACGACCCTTGGGGCGGTTGGACAGAGGTGAGAACGGCAGCGTCTATCTGGGTCACCTGCAGATTCAACCCAGCCGCCATACAGTCACTATCTAGCTACTCCGCTGTCCGTCAAATTCTGGCTGTGATCTCCTCATAGGTCCTGGACTCGTGGGCTGTGTTCCCAGACCTTCACCTATCGACTGTCAATTCTCTGGTCATCTACCACTACCGCATACCACGACTGCCAGTTCATCTCATTCAGTCTGTGTCCCGGTGTTCTCCTGCCATTTCAAGACGTCGCTCGAGTGTGGAGTTGAATGGACGCTTCCCTACCCAGAGTGTGCATCACAGTGTTCCAGAACCTTCCCCCAGGGCCACTGCCATAGGAAATATTTGTTCATTGTTTGATTCTATCAGTTGTTGACTCCCATTAATTGTTTGATTCTATTAATTGCTGACTCCCATTAATTGTTTGCTCCCTTTAATTGTTTGCTTCCATTAATTGTTTGACTCCATTAACTGTTGACTGCCTTAATTGTTACTTGATGTTTGTTGAGTGGTGTCAGAGTTTTGTGTTATATTTTTTATAGTTAAGAGATGTCAATCTCAAACGGTTGTTTGTTATTCCTCGGAAAACCATGGTCCTTGACTTTCCTTTATTAAGATCCTGATTAGCCTGGTAAGGGATTTCTACCCCTAAGTCCCAGGCCTTTACACCGTTACAAAAGACATAAGAAAACAAGGAGTCTGCAATATGCTTGTTGGCCTGTGCATGGCAGCTCCTGTCGAGAGTTACTACCACTCTCTATCATCCATGAATCTATCCAGCCTCCTTTTGAAACTTTCCAGCGTTCCAGCACTTACTACAAAGTTGCTAAGCTTGTTCCACTCGTCCACCACCCTATTTGTGAACCAGTTCCTTCCTATCTCCCTCCTAAACCTAAACTTATCCAACTTAAATCGTTGCTCCGAGTCCTATCGTGCTCGGATATTATAAGAACTTCATCTATATCCCCTTTATTGATTCCTTTCACCCACTTAAATACTTCTATCATATCTCCCCGCACTCTTCGTCTTTCTAGGGAATGCAAGTTTAGTTTCTTTAACCTATCCTGATATGGAAGGTTTCTAAGTCCCGGAATCATTTTCGTCATTCTTCACTGCACCGACTCTAGTGAATTGATATCCATTCTATAATAAGGGCACCAGAACTGAACCGCATAATCGAGGTGCGGCCTGACTAGCGCAAGATATAGTTGCAATAAGACCTCTGCACTCTTATTACTTACACTTATAGATATAAAACCCAATACTCTGTTTGCCTTATTTCGAACATTAACGCACTGTTTTCTAGGCCGTAGGTCCGGGCTTACAAGTACCCCTAGGTCTCTTTCACAAGTCGACTTCTCTAGGTTGATGTTGTTAAGGCTGTATACATTGTCAGTATTTGTTCTTCCAATATTAAGTACGCCGCACTTGCTGGTGTTGAATTTCATTTGCCATTTTTCAGACCACCCCTGCAGTTTATTTAGATCCTCCTGTAATGCATTTGCATCCTGCCCTGAATTAATTTGCCGCCCTATTTTGGTGTCATCGGCAAACTTGCTTATGTCACTGCTGATCCCAGTATCTAAATCGTTTATGTAGATTATGAACAAGAGTGGGCCTAGTACTGACCCCTGGGGAACCCCACTGGTTACACGGCCCCACTCAGGTTTAACACCATCTACGCTGACCCTCTGTGTTCTATCAGTGAGCCATGATTTTATCCAATTTAAAACTTTCCCCTCGACACCATGAGCCTTAATTTTTCTCAGAAGCCTCTGATGCGGTACTCTGTCAAATGCTTTGCTAAAGTCTAAGTAAATATCATCGTAATTTTCGTCATTATCTACTACCTCGAAGACTTCCCTGTTAGACAAGATTTTCCCTTTGTAAACCCATGTTGAGAGTCGTAGATTAATTTGCTTTTCTCTAGATGCGATCGGATGCTATCTGCTATAACGTTTGGGTTATGTTATGTTACGTTGATGTTAGGTTACGTTAGGGAGAAGGGCGATAGGATAGGTTAAGTTAAGTTAGGTTAGGTCAGGTTAAGTTAGGTTATAATTCAATGTCAGAACCACTTTGAGAACCCATTATGTTGTCAGTATCTTATCTGACACTGAGCTGAGAGAAGCACAGAGTCAATACCTCTCACTGGCTCCTACACATCCAAGTCTCAACCCGCATCAGACAGCTAATCACCAGGTAGAGAACAGCTGATCACCACGTACCTGATCTATCAACACGTAAACAAAAAAATAACAACAAAAACTCTCGGACAAGTGGCTAGTGAGCAACTAATTAGCATCCTAATAAGTAGTTATGAATCATCTAACTCACCAAATATGAAACAGCAATGCACCAATAGCTTTCAACAGGTTGCACATATAATTAATGAGAGGAAGCGGGCAGGTATAGAGGGAGAATATGTACTTATAAATATAGAACATATGTGGCAAACAGCTTCTCGACAGGTAACACTTTAGATGAAATATGAAAAGAAGGAAGAAGAAAATTAACAATCAAGAAATGAAACGACTGATCAGCGGACATCTGTACTGTGATAAATAAATGTGAAAATGGCGACAAAAAGGCGTGGAAAATTCATCTGTCTTACCTTGAGGCAGGAAAGGTCTCGTCAGCAGATGTGGAGGACAAAAAAACACCTCCAGCACCCGAGACTGGCTATAAGTACACACACGGGTATATAAGGCAGATGATCACCAGTATTCTGTGCTGGTTCACTAACTTACGACGAGGACTTATTATCAGACCTTTTAAAACCTCCCAGCTTTGAATGCCCTCTGCTTGCATCCTTCACCCAGACCCACTTCTTCTCCTTCGTTACAATCTTCAGAGTGGTCTTACCGGATGTGAACATGAAAGCCTTCTGATGCGCCATTATAGTTTTCTCCTGGATTAGAGCCATTAAAACTCGCCTTACACAACACACAGGAGATTAACACCACACTCTCACCTTTCCTCTACAACACGTAACAAAATTAATGAAGACTATTGATGATCTAGTCAGTGGTAGTAGTAGTAGTAGGTGTAGCAGTAGTAGTTATTGAGGTAACTTCGAGCATATCAACATCCAAGAATGACCAGAAGGGGTTTACAGAGCGGTGGGATGTGCGCACTAAGTTGGTAACGCACACTATTCCAATACCTCCACTTCCAGTACCTCGACCTACAGTACCTCCACCAACAGTACCTCCACCTCCAATACCTCGACCTACAGTACCTCGACCTACAGTACCTCGACCTACAGTACCTCGACCTACAGTACCTCGACCTACAGTACCTCCACCTCCAGTACCTCGACCTACAGTACCTCGACCTACAGTACCTCCACCTCCAGTACCTCGACCTACAGTACCTCGACCTACAGTACCTCCACCTACAGTACCTCCACCTACAGTTCCTCCACCTCCAGTACCTCCACCTCCAGTACCTCCACCTCCAGTACCTCCACCTCCAGTACCTATCTCCACCTCCACTCCACCCCAGCACCTCCACCTCCAGCACCTCCACCCACAGTACCCAGCACTCCACCTCCAGTCCACTCCACCTCCACCCACAGTACCTCCACCCACAGTACCTCCACAGTACCTCCACCTACCACCTGTACCTCCACCTCCAGTACCCTCCACCTACAGTACCTCCACCTACAGTACACACATCCAGTACTCCACCCACAGCACCTCCACCTCCAGTACCTCCACCTCCCACCTCCAGTACCTCCACCTCCAGTACCTCCACCTCCAGTACCTCCACCTCCAGTACCTCCACCTACAGTACCTCCACCTCCAGTACCTCCACCTACAGTGCCTCCACCTCCAGTACCTCCACCTATAGTACCATAAACATCAGCAAGACACACTAACGGCTTTTTCTTCTGCTTAAAGACGATGTTTTAATACAGGACTAATGGAAGAGTCACACACACACACACACAGTGAGGTCCCAGGTACCCAGTGATAACGGCCCGTGAGACCCAACAACCAGCGATGTGTTAATCCGTCTACATTAGGAAGGCCTGGGACCAAACCTCACTCATATAACACCATCTGTGAAGGAATTACTACACCACGTGAGGCCCCCTCATAACACCATCTGTGAGGGAGTTACTACACCACGTGAGGCCCCTCATAACACCATCTGTGAGGGAATTACTATACCACGTGAGGACCCTCATAACACCATCTGTAATTACTACCACGTCAGGTCCCTCATAACACCATCTGTGAGGTAATTACTACACCACGTGGTCCTCATAACACCATCTGCGAGGGAATCACTACACCACGAGGACCTCATAACACCATCTGTGAGGTAATTACACCCACTTGAGGCCCCCTCATAACACCATCTGTGAAGGAATTACTACACCACGTGAGGCCCCCTCATAACACCATCTGTGAGGGAGCATTACACCACATGAGGTCCCTCATAACACCATCTGTGTGGGAATTACTACACCACGTCAGGTCCCTCATAACACCATCTGTGAGGGAATTACTACACCACATGAGGCCCCTCATAACACATCTGTGAGGGAATTACTACACCACGTCAGGTCCATCATAACACCATCTGTGAGGGAATTACTACACCACGTCAGGTCCCTCATAACACCATCTGTGAGGGAATTACTACACCACGTGAGGACCCTCATAACACCATCTGTGATGTAATTACTACACCACGTCAGGTCCCTCATAACACCATCTGTGAGGTAATTACTACACCACGTGAGGTCCCTCATAACACCATCTGCGAGGGAATCACTACACCACGTGAGGACCCTCATAACACCATCTGTGAGGTAATTACACCACTTGAGGTCCCCCATAACACCATCTGTGAGGGAATTACTACACCACGTCAGGTCCCTCCAAACACCATCTGGGAGGGAGTTACTACACTACGTGTTTGCTGTTCAACACCTACATTAATCTGTATGTTCACTGTATGTTCCTTTACCTTTCTCTAATGAAGGCTTTTGTTAAACCACCAATGTATGTAATAAGTCATTTATGTCCAATGTATATTTTCAGCCTTCGGGCTGCAGAACTTTTCAATAAAACCGTTAATTATTATTATTATCACACACACACACACACACACACACACACACACACACACACACACACACACACACACACACACACACACACACACACACACACACACACACACACACACACACACACACACACTATAGCTTATAATTTTCACCTGATGGTCAAAATACTGTACCCTATGTTACGCTTACGTTAGGTTAGGTTAGGTTAGGTTAGGTAAGGTTGGAAATAAAGTAAAGAATCACGGTGATACTTAAAACAATCTGGGGAATTCTGCAGCAAAGGCGATTGTATTGACGTCAGAATTAAAAAGACACACATCCCGAGACGACGAACAGAAGAGGCAGGGGGGGGGAGGGGAGCAATCTAAAATCCTCCATTGATCAGCTGCGTCATTAGGGCAGGATCCATCCATTTCAGAGCACCGTAAAAACTCCCCAGAATGTGTCATAACTCAGCCAGTCAGTGATGCAGTATTCAGAAGGGATACATACATACATACATACATACATACATACATACATACATACATACATACATACATACATACATACAAACAAACATACAAACATACTTATCTCAATAATCCATATACAAACAATACCTCACATAGTCGAGAATCGAACCCTGGACCTCTGTGTGACTAGGGGTAGTTAACACGGCACCACAAGGAAGTCCGCGTGTATAGGGACTGTTTGAGATATACTGTATAATATGTAGCCCCGTGTTTCCTAGCTGGAGTCGGTAAAATGCTACTACCACCACATAGTTGACATGGGTAATGGGGTTGGGTTGGGTGGGGTGGGGTGGGGTGGGGTGGGGTGGGGTTGGCGACTTACCTGGGCAGTGAGATGAGTAGTTGTGACGCCCAAGCCCCCGCCGCCCGTCATGTCCCCGAGGCTGCCGTTGGGTGACGCACTATCCGCCTGTAACAACAACAATAATAATAACAAACAACAATAACTAGCAACAACAACAATAACAACACTAAGAAAAATATTATTTCACACATCCACGCGAGTCAAAGTCTACTTCACATAATTCAATTCATAAAAACCGACTCTGTGTAGTGTAGTGTAGTGTAGTGTAGTGTAGTGTGTGTAGTGTGTGTAGTGTTGTGTAGTGTAGTGTAGTGTGTAGTCTAGTATAGTGTGTAGTGTATATATATATATATATATATATATATATATATATATATATATATATATATATATATATATATATATATATATATATATATATATAATTTCAATTATTTCAGGGTGAGTACAGCTAGCTGTACTCACCCCTGAAGATGTGAATTACACGAAAGCGCTTGGGAACTTCGTGTTTTCTTCTTTCCTTGTGGTTATCAGCATATATCTAGATCACGCGCACCCACAGTGATTTACTTGCATATATATGTATATATTAGAGAACTGGCAAAAGACAAACATCAATGGACGTCTGTTGTGGTGGGCCAAGGTTGCCGACCCTCCGACACACCGTGGTTGATTAAGTATATACTGTAAGTACCGTCATTATCTGTGATGACTGTGCTTGTACCTCTCTCTCTCTCTCTCAAGTATAGTAACATACATTGATCCTAAGTTATGTTTGTGCTGTACCTATTTTCATTTACAATTCTCTGTATCATTGTTTGTAATATATACCTGTAAATTGTATCTGCACCTGTAAACTGTATCTGTACCTGTAAACTGTATCTGCACCTGTAAATTGTATCAGTACCTGTAAATTGTATCTGTAACAACTAGCACACACACACACACACACACACACACACACACACACACACACACACACACACACACACACACACACACACACACACACACACACACACACACACACACACACACACACACACACACACACACACACACACACACACACACACACACACACACACACACACACACCAAATTATGTATATCTGAAGAAAACAAATTGAAAGTCAAAACCAAAACTGTAATAATCCTTTTACTCTTATTCTGTGTAATAGTCCAGTAATTAATTTTCTTTTCCCTTCAGTGACTCTTGACCTTCGACCTTCGACAACCAGGTCACCAAAATATAGTTTGGTGATCTGGATATAACGAGTCATTAATCACGGGGTAATAAGTCATGTGTTAATGTGTTTGATTTTTTCTTCATCTTGTGTTTAATTATTTCATTGAATATTAATTACCTGTGGCGATCACATGCTAGATACTGATCCTTCTATTGAGAGAGAGAGAGAGAGAGAGAGAGAGAGAGAGAGAGAGAGAGAGAGAGAGAGAGAGAGAGAGAGAGAGAGAGAGAGAGACCTAGCTGGGAACGCAAGTGAGTGAGTGAGAGGAATTACTGGGGAAAGTGAGTGAGTGAATGAGAGAGTTGAGGACTATGTTGGGGTGTATGTTGGGCTGCCACTCACCCTGGTGGGGCTGGCGTGCACGGTGGGCACGATGGTGAGGAGGGGTGAGGAGGAGTTGGTGACGGTGATGGAGGTAGCCGAGGTGATGGGGGAGGGCTGGGACGACGTGCTGACGGAGGAGGAGAGCCTGGAGGCGGTGGTAGTGGTGGTGGTAGTCGCCGTGGTCACCCCGCCCTCCGACGACAACGGCGACGACGGAGAGGCGTGGCTGCTGTCGCCACCTCCTCCTCCGCTCCCGCCGCTGCCACCTCGGCCGCCCCCCGCCGCAGCGGCTGCTGCCGCTGCTGCTGCCGCCGCCGCCGCCGCCGCTGCTGCTGCTGGCATGTCTGTCACGTAGCCACCGCTAGCTGTCGTCATCACACCCCCAGAACCTGTCAACAGAAATGTATCATGAGTTCATACACGACATAAGCCACATCCTATGACCCAATGCCACACAACTGTAATTGACATACCTCAGTCTCTGGGCAGCCACACCCACCCACACAAACACTGACAATGTTAACAATTATCTCCCCTCTTCTAAAAAGCTGAAAATCTTCCTTTAAGTCACTGTGTAAATACAGGTGTTCCAATTACACACATACCATTGAGAGTATTCTTAGCGTCTCCCGTCTAACGTAAATACTGTGTCAGGAAACCTCATTACTACAATGTATGAGTTGAATAACTCACCCATCTCATGTACAAATAACAAGTCAATTTTATCAAGTGAGATAATCTTAACACAAGACACGAATGCACTCTGTTTATCTGAATTAACTGGGGCCGACATGTCTCACCTAAACTAACCCAACTTAACAAACTAAACCCAGTCTAACCTAACCCATACAAACCTAACCTAACCAAACAAATGTAACCTAATCAAACGTAAACCTAATCTATCCAAACCTAACCTGGCCCAAACCTAACCTAAATAAACCTAACCAAATGTAACCCTAACCAACCAAAACCTAACGTGACACACCCCCACCATCCAACCAGCTTAACAGTACTACCCTCTCTAATGTTACCCACTTTCAGTATCTTGGCTTCCACCTGTCCACCACCGTGGACATCGATGAAGAGATTCAGCCTCGGATCAGATGGCATATCAAGCCTTTGACAGACTCCAAAACCGTGTCTTCAACTGTAGGGAACTGAAATTATCTACAAAGTTACACATATATCGAGCAGTGGTCCTACCCATCCTGCTATATGGCAGTAAGACATGGGTCACATGCAGGAGGCACCTCAAGGCACTTGAAAACTTTCACCAACGTAGTCTACGTTCCATCCTCAGAATTCTCTGGGAAGAGAAGAGAACAAATGCCAGTATTCTTGCTAACACCAACTGTAGGAGCATCGAGGCTACCATTATCAATGAACAACTATGCTGGACTGGCCATGTTACCCGCATGGACGAAAGTAGACTGCCAAAGCAGCTACTTTACAGTCACCTAACGAATAGTAAACGTAACGCCGGCGGGCAACTGAAAAGGTGCCAAATCGACCCCCTCACCTGGGAGACGATTACTCCACATCGTAAAGCTTGGAGGAGCACCACACGAGAAGGTGTCAATACTTTCGAGTTAGCCCGACTGCAAACCGAGGCAGACTAGCGCCAACGCCGGAATGACGCTGCCACCGCCCCTCCTGCACTTGATGTATCCCTCCACATGTGCAACTTCTGTGAACGACTCTGCTGGTCCCATATCGGCCTCTTTAGTCACCTCAAAATTCACCAATGAAGGTGACATCCTTAATAACTCATATCATTGTATCATAGCTGGATGATCGTTATACTCGATTCCGAGAGACAGCAAAGTAGTAGTAGTAGCAGTACAGGTAATAGTAGTAGTAGTAGTAGCAGTACAGGTAGTAGTAGTAGTAGTTGTAGTAGTAGTAGTAGTAGTAGTGTTCACAACCTCTGGTGGGATGGGACCAAGTGCAAGATGCTTCTACGCCAGACTCGCGGAGGTAATATCCGAACAGAAGCAGCAGCCCAGAAGTTATGTTACAGCCTGGATGAGATGTCGACTGTCCTTCTCTCTCCTTTGGTCGGCTTTGCTCTGCCTCAGGGGAACGAGAGCATCGGCCCCAAAGCCGACAACAGTTGCAGATATTGACTATGAGGCTACAGTCACTGAATGCCGCATAGATCTGCAGCTCAACTAACTCAACATAGCTAGGACAGCTACTTATGTATTAGGATATTTAATATTAAGGTAATAAAATGGTGGCGAAGGTGTGGCTATTGGGGGAGGCTGGAGGCCATTAAAAAAAATTAGTAGTGGTAGTAGTAGAGTGTGTGTGTGTGTGTGTGTGTGTGTGTGTGTGTGTGTGTGTGTTGGCAACATTGATGAAAACAAAAGAATCTATGTTTTGTGGCTAAGTTGACTGATAGATCTATGTTTTGTGGCTAAGTTGACTGATAGATATCATGTTTTGTGGCTAAGTTGACTGATAGATGTTGTGGTTTGTGGCTATGTTGACTTTGTGGCTATGTTGACTGGTCGATGTTATGTTTTGTGTGGTGGTGGTGACGGCGGTGGTGGTGATGCCGGCGGCGGTGGTGATGCCGGCGGCGGTGGTGATGCCGGGGGCGGTGGTGATGCCGGCGGCGGTGGTGGTAATATCGATGATGATGATGATGATGATAAGGAATATATTGACAAGGAAGATGATAATGATAATGATAATAATAATAATAACAATAATAATAATAATGATGATGATGATGATGATGATGGTGGTGATAATGATAGCGGCGATAATGATAATGACTATGATAATGAGGGTGATAATGATAATGGTGATAATGATGATGGGACTAGAAGATACCGTAAGGGACTATCTTCACTTTTCTTTTCTTTTTATCAGAGAACCACGACACCGCCTGCCACACTCACCAGGGACTCGAGATCTTGTTGTCATCCTCTCCCTCCACCGTTCGAGTTTTTTTTTTAATTTCAATATTTATTCCTTGATAGAGGAACCGGGATCCTAGTGCTGTCACTAGGTACCCCTGCACTGTACAATAACACCAGAAGCATCTGGGAAGTGTCACAAGTATATACAGTATAAATATTATAAAGGGGCTTACTAAAGCCTAAGGAAGGAAGGATAATCCTTTAACACATCATCAATATTATTTACATAATATCTGGCCAGTATGGGGAGGATCATCGTGTCTCCATCAGGGGGTCGTGGAGTGGTGGTCCAGCAGGCGTCACGGAAGCGTTGTGTGTGGGGACATCTTAGGAGGTAGTGGATAAGGGTGCGGCTGTCGGGTCTTCTGCAAAATGCACAAGAGCGTTGCTCAGGGGATGCGGGGATACCAATCTCCCAAGCAAAGTCATACCCAATGATGATACGGGCAGCAATCACGTCCCTTTTCCATAGACATACGAGAGGTCAGGAAGTTTACGGAGGACATCGTACCAGGTGGGCGGGGAGTCCAGGGGGATGGCTGCTTCCCGAGCTTCTCTCTGTTTGCGGCTAATTCTACTCTTAAATGTTTCCTAACACAACG